CACAGCTTCTACAACCATTACTGCCACATTTTTCGTTACTTTTCTTCCAGAATAACTTTGCACTTGCAGGTACTGCAATTCCCGTAGTATAACCCAAATTCAACTTTAATGGCATTACCTGACTTTCCACATAATATGACTGTATGAGCGGAAGAATTGTTCCATTAAAGCGAATGTGCCTTTGTAGTATGTATGAATTGGCAACTCTGTTTACTGCCCAGCATTATCGCTCAAGTTTTGAGCAATAATTTAAAAGTTTAGCATAGCTTCAGGTGTTCGGAAATGGTACATTTAAGAGAATTTTGCTTAGAAATACAAAGCCACAATTAGTGTTTCTGTTCGTCATATTACCACTTCATTTACCTAAAAAAATACAAAGCTACGTTGGTTTTTGTTGTAGACATATTATTAGTTCATTTACTTAAATTAGTTTGACTAAGTTTAAGCTCGCCGCAACTTAAATAACCGAAACTTTTCATTGCAGAATCCCGCAGCAAGAAAATGAAGAAGATGCTCCTGCCTCTGCTCCTTATCTTGAAGCTGAAGAAGGCTGTGCTCTGCAAGATTGCTTTCAGCATTGTCAAATTCATCTCCCTCAAGAGTTTGGCCATCTCCATTTTGGCTTTGATCCTAGCTGGTGCGTAGCATTTTGCAATCGAGCTCTTCAGCTTGCCATTCTTCACTAAACCTTTATATTTTTCGTCACAATTTAGGCGCCACTTTCTTCAAGGACTTGTTGGGCAAGAAGAAGGAACACATCACCACCGCTTACATCACCGGCAGCCCATTGAACGCTGAAATCGTGCACTCCGACTGGAATCGCAATGGTCAGGCTGCTGCCTCTGACTTGGCCTACAACCAATATGGCTTGGCTCAACCCTTCTAAATGTCTACAATAGCACAAGGGAATCGATAACGGCACAACCCGCCGCTAGACTAACTTTAGCTAGCTTTATACTCCTCCTCTTCCTCTTCCTATCCCCCTTCCTATACTATTACTGAACGCTATGAAAGTTGATCACTTTTCATATTTCTATAATTTTCTATTGATCAACATAAGAATGACTAAATTTTAGTTAATTTATAAAACTTTATAATTATAAATATTTATTTGTAGTCGAGTACTTAGTTTTTAGTTAGTGAAAACTATGCGATACCAAAAAAAAAAAAAAACAAATGAGAAGCAAAAGCAAATGCAAATATGCAAATTGAAAAAATCACAAAAAAATAATAAATAAATGCGAATAATATTTATTTCATAAAAATACATATACAAATAATTTTATTTATTTAAATACTTTGTACAAAATATGAAGGAGCGCAGGGCCCACGGCCTCTACTTGCACTTTGTCAATCAATCAACAATATCGTAGGCACCGCTTAAAAGTCGATTATTATTATTACTAACCCAATAGACAGTAATTAATTTACATTTATGATTATATGCAATTTACAGTTAATTAACTGCTATGCATAATTAAGTTGACCTCAGGTTCCGTTTGATATTTCAGAATAAAACTTTTGTGGCAAGTCAACTTCGTGTTGCAACTTTGCCTTAACACAATCACAGCCAATAGAATGTCATTAAATCACTAATATAAATAGACTCATGTAATACGCTTATATTTAACAGTTTTATTAATTTTACTCTTAAGTAGTTCTGTTTAAAATTCGTCTGTATAAATAAAGTTCATTGAATAACTAATTAATATCGATAAGCTTGTTCGATTTTTTATAAATAGAGTAGGCAGTTTTATCCGATGAGGTTAAATGTTTCCGATACAGCTATTTTCAGCCTAACCGAACAGCATAAGTATTTAATATCTATTCAACGCAAGCAGGAAGTACAAGGTTGCATCACTAGTGTTCTACAAAAAGATTAAGAGTAGGGAATAGTAGGTCTATTTTGGATATTGCTCAACCCCTGTGGCTAATGGCAAATATATCCGAGAAGTATTGATGCATTCCACTAAAAATGGTGAATCTGAGACAAATGTTCTACTAAAAGTGTATATTGTGCTTAGCTGACTAAACTAAAGTAATGCACTTAGCCCAAGAATTAGCTTATCTAGACATTGAACAAATTTTGTTGACTGCTGAACTCTAATTGAATTCATTTAGTATTATTACGCCAATTATTCTATGAATATTTATTTTTATTATGATATCTCCTTTACCTACCGATATCTTTTTCACAATGTCAATAAAATTATCAATTAGGCATGGGAAGAATTGGAGAAAGTGTAGACCAATTTGATCCCTTTTTGACAACAAAACACATTATGTTGTAAAATTACAATCTAACGCTCGGATATTAAACAAACATATTTTACTATGTAAAAGTTCAAGCGAGAGTACAAAACAACCCATGCCTTAAAATATCGTTATTAAAGTGTTGTAAAAGTGACCATCCTTTTCCGTCTCTTTTAAAAGTTGCACCTTTATTTAATACGGATAATGACGTACATAGGTGTAGTAATGAGTTCCATACTTACATTAAATGGTCACTCAATGTTCCCAGGTACGTATACTACTGTTCTATATATATGTAATTGTATCAAGTATAAACACATTTTGCTTCTAACATACCAAAATACCTTTTTCGTTGTTTCTTTGTCTATTTAAAATATCTTCCTAGTTATAATATAAAATATAATTTAAACTGTGCACTAAAGATATAAGCCAATACTTAGGGAAGTTAGTTGAGTACTTTCAGCATTAAAGACAAATTTTGTATGAGTTAGCTTTGGCGTTGACCTTGCCTACTAACGAAGAAAAAGAAATGCCTCTAAGAAGAGAAAATATGAAATAAAACAAGTTTAATGATTGCACGGCTTGACAGCCCATACTTCAATATTGCCATTATTGAAATATAAGTCGTAATTTTTCCACTCCCAAATAAAATAACTTTCACCTCTATTTATTGCATAATTTAGAATCGAATAAAAAGGTAAAAGTGTTTATTCTAAATTACGATATGCAATATGTTATAATTTGCTTTCATTTTAAAACAGAATACTTTACTCGTATAGCTATGCAATAGTGCCTTCGTAAAGTGGAGTATTAAATAACTAATTGCATTTTCATAAAGGAAAATAGAGCTATCATAAGTACTTTAATATTTGTTCGCCCTCAATTTAACTTTTTGTTCTTCTTCTTTTTCAGGTTCTTTAAAGGCAAAATAATTTTAAAGAAACCAAAATTTCTTCCAACCTTAACGCTAAGTTTTCCTCAGTAAAATAAAGTAATAACAAGCTATAGAGTCTTCGATTCACCACTTCTTTTCTCGTTATCTTTGCGCGCTGCGCTCTTGTAAAAAAAAAATAATTTGTGACGCCACATCAAAGCTATTGAGACAAGAACCTCAATATGGTGGTATATATTTTGCTAATATTTTAGATATATTTTACTATTGTGAATGGCTCAAATCACTAATTAACATACAATTATCATTTATTTTCCAATCTTCAGATTTAAGATCAAGTATATTAGTTTATATAAAACAAAACTAAGTATTTAGTAACTAAAACGTTTCTTTGCCGCAGAAAAAATTATTTCTCCACCAAAAAAGCGTATACGTCAGAAGACATGTACATTCACGATGCACTACAAGTGCTGCCCCTTTCTCTAAACATCTGGTATAGTTTGTTCGATTCACTTCTCACTAATCTTCAACGTTTGCCGAAATAATGTCAATGTTTTTTTAAGCGGTTATGATGGATAATATGAAAAAGTCAGTGTCTCTAAATGTTATGATATGCATTAGCTCATATAAAAATCGGTCAAATAAGTCCATACCTAATTTAACCGAATATGACGACTTTTTTATATACATTATACAAAAATATCGGTCAGTTTTTGCTTAATAAATGAATTCGATGAAGAACCTACCCTAGTCCCCATATAATGGTAAGCTTTATTATTTGGAGTTTGCGAGGGGGATATATCATATACCATATATATACCCTTTCCCACTAAAATAATAAAAATAGTAAATTCTGTTAGTTAGGTTGATTTTAACGTAAATGTTTTGGATCTGAATGAGGGTATGGTAATAATCCTTGTGGTTATATGATATTTTTTTATTATTTATGATATATTTTTATTATAAATAACCTTTAATCGAATATACGACATTATTCTCACGTCCCTACTGTAGGTAGTAGTTGCCCATGAAATTCACTTTATTATATATATATTTAATAACAATACTCTTATACAAAACTAACCACTGTGCAACGATTTCAATGACAGCATTGACAACTACGATGTCCAGCTATTAATCAACGAGCCACGCGACAATTGCTGCTCTATATTAATTACAGATGTATACATAACAGTTTAGACACTCCCGCACTGTCCAACAATCGCTATATTTACATACAATTACATACATATGTGGTACAATGGTGCTTTTAGTGTTTTCTTGTTTTGGAGTCTTTCTGAAAGAGGAAAAAAACTCACAAAAATTTTAGCATAACAATTAATGAAAACACCTAAATTGTTGGGAGGTCTTCCGAATCTAAATATATGTATTTTTAATTTTATGCTTTAAAAATATTTTCCAATTTAAGGGAATGGCGCTTAACTCTTTTACGGCTGTTGTTGTATTCAGCTTCATTTCACTTTTACTGTTCTTTTGGACTGAGTATAATTTCATCTTTCTCATATTTATCACATATAATTTGACCGTAGTTTCCATTTTTGCCGAAATCACATGCCGAATGGGAATGGTACGGGTATAAAAAAAGGCAACGGGGCATAACAAGCCAGCCTCCCGTTCCCTCTTCTTGGCTGGCGGCACTGCAGTTAGACTTTCATTTTCAAAACATCGGTAGTACGTATATGAATAACACCAGCTCTGTATTGATGAGTTGGAAGGGGTTTTGTGGTTTAGGTTGACCACCCAACAGTGTGTACACACTTCACTGACTTTCTGAATTTCTAATAGTGCTACTGTCACTTTTTTGGTTAATGATTTTTAATTACATTTGAGAGTTTTCCATTTTCTTTCACACATTGCTGATTGAGTGTTTGAATTATTCTGCAAATTTGTATTCGAAGAGAACATCATATGAAGAAAATAAAAATTTTATTTGAACCTAATTAGGTTGGTATAACGAACTGCTTCCGCTTACTTCCCTCTCCACCTCCCTCTCTCTTAATGCTAGGTTGTTAAGCTTTCCACTGGCCCACGTCTTGGTCTCTCGTAGTTCCTTTCATTTGCTGCAGTTCCGCTATGCTGCCACAGTGAAAGGGAAATAACGCCGGCAGACTGCTGCTGCGACTGCTGCGATCTTAAACTTTATTACCGCCACAATTGTTGTTTTACCGCAGCATTTTTTCTGTCCAATTTCGTTAACAACTTTTCGCCGCTTTTCTACATTGCTTTTATTATTGTATAAAATTCAGATCAGTCTAATGTTGATCAACAGTCGGTATAAGGTGATAGTGCGGCACACAACTGCCAGCAGCATTCGTAGCTTTAGTCCTGCTTAGTCAATTCAAACGGATATAAATCTGCACGTACATACCTACATCTTCGTAATGCTGTCACAAAGAACTATGGAATACTTGACTTATTTGGGATTATTCATTCTGCTCCTGAGATTCCATGATTCCGATGCCGCTACGGTTCACACTTTCGAAGAGCTTTCCAGCGAAAATAGTCTAAAAGCGCCACCCGCCTCGCATCCCCCGCCCACCGAGACCACAGGAACGAGCAATAGCAACAACAAACGTGACGTAATTAAACGCGCATTTGAAGAGTGTAGAACACAGCTGAGTTGGATGTGTTTGAAAATTGAATTTGTGAAAATGATGGAGCGTTTGATGGAAAAGGACGAGCTGAAGCTAGTGCCTGGAGTGAGTGTAGTGCGAAATGTCAATGCCACGGAGCTGAAGAGCAACGATTTAATGGCAGGTATGTGAGAAGCTGCGTCTGACGCGAAGAATAGCAAAATTACGAGTATCTTAAAACTTAAATAATAGTAGCAATATCAATAATCAATACCAATATTTACATTAATGGAAAATTTGTCCGTGCTTTTGTACCCTGTCGTCCAATGCAAAAGAAAAACAAGTAAGGAAAGGCTAAGCTCTGGGGACATACTTTCAGGTATTGGCAAAACTTTATAATAAACAAGTAAGGAAGGGCTGAGTTCGGGTGTAACCGCACATTTCATACTCTTGCAACGTGCAAGGATCAAAGCCGGCTAAATACCTTCAGGTGTTGGCCATATTAAAGAAATCTATCGAGAGGGTTCCATTTCATTGTTCGTCGAAGTCGTGATAGGATTATAATCAAAACTGGTATCATATTAACATATTTTGAAGGTCATAGATGCCCTAGGTTTTATTACTATATTTTACTTCCCGTCGCGAAAATTACAATATACTAAAATCATTGGGGGCAGAGTAATGGAAGGGCTGACTGCATTAATTTTTCACTTTGTTCAGATATACTTAAAAAGTTATTTATAAATATATAAATATAAATACACACATATGTATATGGAGGGAAGTCATATGGACGTTTTAAAATCCTGAGTCCTTGCACGAGTTTATCCATTTTAAACACAAATGTTCACTGTTATTAGAAACACACGCTTTCTAAATTTCATTAAAGTAACTTGCACATTGGCCGATATATGTATGTGGTATAAAGTCAACTGCAAGTTAGAAAATCTTTATGTTAGGTATATGCGGGGGAAGTATTGGTCCGATTCAAGGATCCATGACATAAGGGTATATTATTATCATAAAAAAAATTTTCTGGAGTTCAATAATATCTCAAAGATCGGCCGATATATTCGACAAAAAGTCAGTTATACGCACTAGGGTCCTTACATTTGGTGTCTGGGTTCTTAAAAAGTTATGATCCGATTTCGACAACTTTTGGGCATAAAACGAAATACCTTGAGGGTACTATTTTTGCAAAGTTGCATCTGGATTTATTGATGGGATCTTGTTGTGTATACTGGATAGTAAAATAATCAGATGGAATTCAAAAATGTGTTATATGGGAAGTAGGCGTGACTTTTGTCTGATTTCGGCTATTTGGATACTATATAATACGCAAATCAGGATAATATTACCCACCGAATTTGGTTGAAATCGGTCGAGTAAGTCCCGAGATATGGATTTTCACTTAAATGTGGACAGTGCCACGCCTATTATCAAAATTTTTCACCCTTCCTATAAAGCCCTCGGTAGGGGTTCTTATAGGATTTGTGCTAAGCGAGTTTGGTTATTATAGCTTTAGTGGTTTAGGAGATATCTACATAAAACCTATTAGAGCGACGCGCCCCTATTTTCGTAAATTTAGCTCAAAGGTGCTCCTTGCTACTGTATTAATTAAGTGCTTATTTATGGCATTTTATGTGTTCGATTAATGGCGTTTTGTGGGCGTGACACTGGTCCAATTGTATGTAGGCATGAGTAGAATTATCCCGATTTATGGATGTTTAGCACCACAACATGCTATAACCATAAAATATGATCTCTGAGTTTCATAAAGATACCTCACAGCCAATATACATATATAATATATATATAAGGTTAGCCGAAATTTTGGAAATAGGGATAGAAGAAGTATTGATCCCGTTTCAAAGACAGATTATTATCCGGAAAAGACTTGCTCAAAATTTAATTAAATAACCTTGAAATTGACTGATATATACGGGATAAGGTCAACCGGTAGTTCGAAAAACTTTGTTGTACCTAACCCTGCCCATTTTGGTCACAAAACAACATTATTATCAAAAAAAAGATTCACCCTGAATTTCGGTAATTTGTCCAAAGTTTTGTTTTCATCCCTTCGCTGGTGCTTGATTTGAATACTGCATCCAAAAAAATCAAAATCAATTTATAATGCTAAGACATCCGTAATGGAACTCGTTTATCATTCTGATCACTTTGATATATGTACATATTTCGATTAATCTCAGGTGTTACCAACAACCCTTAGGTGAACAAAATTTTGTTCTCTGTTACAATACCATATATTAATTTAAATTGCCGTCGAAACTTTTTAAAAAAGGGCGTTTATAAGCCAAAAATCCGAGCATCACATCTATTTTTAAAGATATTCAATTTGTGTAAGCAGCAAATTTACTACTTAAAATTATTTCAAAACTATTTAGTCCGGTCAATTTAGAAGTTCAAAGATAGATAAATTTACAGCAAGTTAAAAGTTTAACAGATGGCTAAAAATAACATACTAAGACTTTTTAGCGTTTTGAAATTTTATGACAAAACTTACCATTTGGCTGAAATCGCGAAAAACAAGTAATGTTTTGACGTAATGTAGTTTGAAGCTAATTTTTTCCACAAACCAAAACTTAGTTTTAGCATGTTATTTTTAATCATGATTTGAATAGATTTATTTCATAATCATTTTTGGTAATGCTACAAGTCTTTCTAATAAGAGGCATATATTTGTAATTTCTCTCTATCGATGGTGACAGAAGTTGCACGAAGCTACCCGAATGACCCTAATTCACGACTCAATGGATACATTGTGAGTAAATTGAGTAGTTTCCTGCAAACACATTTTCTCCGCTTAAAATTGATCGACAGCCAAACAATGTCGGAGGCGCGTTCGGCTGTGGGGACAGGACGTAAAGGAAAATTTGGCAAAAAAGGTGGTTTGGAGGCGCTCATCGCTGCTGGTCTAATGATGAAGGGTAAGCTCAAGGAAGAACTTCTCATTAAAAAATATAAATCTATTTGTTCATCTTAGGAACTCTAATGGCCATTGGTATGGGTGCTGTTGCGTTAATGGCTGGCAAAGCACTCATGACAGCACTAATGGCCTTAACACTATCCAGCATATTAGGTTTGAAGAGTTTAGCCTCCGGCGGTAGTAAGTCGACCACATACGAAATTGTTTCGAAACCTGTATATACTTCAAGCCACTCCTATGATGAAGGACATGGTGGCGGACACGGACATATGGGAGGTGGCCACAGTGGAAGCGGTTATGGGGGTTACGCGCGAAATCTAAATTTAGAGTCACCAAATGCGCTGCAGTGAAGAAGTTTAAAATATTTAATCTAGTTTTAATTTAGTTTGTAATAAATTATTTAAACGTTTTATAAATTTTTAAAAAAAGAGTTTATCATACAAATAATAAAATTCTGAGGTCTTTTATTGGTCATTTCAGTAAACACTACTAACTTCTAGCGGTCGCGAATAATAATAATGGCGTTTGTCGCATGATAAGATCTGTCTAAGTTATGTATGTTAGTATGATTTCCAGAGTATCACTAGAATTTGGGCATAAAACTTATTGAGCGAAGGTCCTGTGCCTGTCAATCAATCATAAACAACAACTGAAATAAAATTTTAAGGATGAAATCGCAAAAATGGTTCCATTTAAAGAAGAATAAAATACTATATGATCAAGTCGTTGCATCGTGAAACAAATGAATGAAAACAATTATAACATTGCATTATTTAGTTTCGAATTGCTTCCGCAGCCAATGGTTTCGTAGCTAACTTCCCGCTTAGATGACTTTGTTCTGAAAAAACGTTAACTTCGGTTACAACGAAGCTATAATACACAATTCAAAAGATTCACAAATACAAAAGATTCCTTACAAGAGCTTGATTCCGATCGGCAGTTTGTATGGCAGCTGTTTGCTATAGTGATCTGATCTTAGCAATTTCTTCGGAGATTACATTGTTGCTTTTAATATTAATCCATTTCGTGAAGATTCCTTGTCAAATAAAAAAGTTTTCCATACAACACTTGATTCCGATTGTTCAGTTTGTATGGCAGCTATACGTTAAAGTTGTCCGATATCGGCCATTTCGACAAATGAGCAGATTCTTAGTGAGAAAAGTACAGGTGCTAAATTTCAGGTCGATAGCTTAACTACTGAGGAACTAGTTCGTATATATACAGACAGACGGACATGGCTAAATCAACTCAGCTCATCTTACTGATAATTTATGTATATATTTTTTAGGGTCTCCGATGTTTTCTTCTGGATGTAACAAACTTCGTGGCAAACTTAATATACCCTGTTCAGGGTATAAAAAAACGAAATAGCACTCTGGTTATCAGGGACATATATTAACGTTTGCTAACATTAATAAAAAAGGTACGTACTTTAACACAAATTGTCGACCAATTTAAATAAGTGGCCATGTCGTGAATTATTAGCTAGAAAAATACGCAGACAACACAATTTGATTTATGTATGGGTTCAATAGATGTTTTATAATCAGCTACTTTTTGGAGAATAATTCAAAGAGTTGGTGTTTCATAATTTATAAACTCTTAAAATATGATTATGTTGTAAGTGTTTGCTCATGGGAAAGCCATTTGAAATCAGACCCAGAATATCTAACGTTTGAATATTTTTAGTACCACTGTAATCTTGAATGTTTATTCTTAACTCACAAAGCGACTTAAAGCGAATATACTTTTAGGCGTTATACTTAATATGCTATAAATCAGACTAAACAAGTAAAACAATAATAAATAGCAGGCAAGGAAGGGCTAAGTTCGGGTGCAACCGAATATTTTCGTTCGCAATATGCAAGGATTTAATCCGCGATAATATTTTCATGTGTTGGCAAAACTTTATACTGAAAAATATTGCGTAAGAATATTTCATCATCAGGATTCATTATTTGTAGAAACTGAATGAGTTACAATCAAATTTGGTATCTTATTAGCTTTGGTATTTTATAAGTCATAGGGTCACTTAGTTTCATTACAATTTGCTTCGTGTCCGAAATAATAATTATAAAACCAACTTAATTAACTCAAATGAGTTATATGTGTTATAAAATCAACCAGAAAGGCAAAATTTAATATACAAGTATCGGCTATATGAAGTAAAAGTCAACCAAGTCATTATATCAGGTATATAAGGTTTGGGCAAAGGTCTTGACCAATTCGGTTCATATTCAACACTAAACCACATTATTTTTAAGAATTTAACTATATTTCATTAAAATATCACACATTTATTTTCGGAATTAAGCTGTAGTATATCTAATATTATACGCTCCCTGAAGTTTTAAATTTGTATTTTTGGCATAAACTCTTAGTGTTATTATCGGTCCGATTTAATCCACTTTAGACAAATGGACACACTGTTATTAGAGCGAAACATTTTCTTAATTTCTTTTCAATATCTAACATATTGATCGGTACAATCGCTATAAAATTAACGGAAAGATCAAAAACCTTTCTATTAGGTGTATGGGGGCTACGGAAAAAATTGGATCAATGCTCTCTGATTAGAAAAAATTTGATTTCACATTTAAAGATATTTTCGCTAAAAAATCAGCCATAGACACTGGGGATATATATAGACACAGAATATAAAAATAATGTCACGCACAAAATTTGGTCGAAATCGGTTTAGTAGTTCCTGCATCGTATGTCGCAGGAACTACCACCCAAAGATGGGCGGTGCTTTAGCTTTGGATCGACTTGTTCTCAGCAAGTTTGGTTGAAATGGTATTTGTTGTTTGTGAGATATGTAAATTAAGTCTATTAGAGGGCGGGATTTTTTAAAATTTTCAAATCACAGATGCCATTTTCTTATGCGATTCATTGTACCAAATTACAGTTTTATGTGGAGCTTAGTTCTGTCACTTTAGAAGTTCCGATTAGGTCTAAACTCATTTTATCGCTTGTACCGGCAGACGGACGTGAACAGACAGTCAAAAGAAAAGGTGAATTTCTGAAATGCACTTTTCTGTGTGGCCATCAGCTTTTGCTTTGATTCTGACTTGATGGCAAAACGCTTTCCTTTCATTGGTTTCTTCAGTTTTGGGAAAAGAAAATAGTCACAGGGAGCCAAATCTAATGAATAAGGTATGGTTACGTTTCTGTTTTTGACCAAAAAATCACGAATGAGTATTGATGTGTGAACTGGTGCTTGTAGTATTCCTTGCATCACACCATTGTAGTCAAAGAAAACAGTGAGCAAAACCTTCACATTCGATCGAACTTGGCGTGCGTTTTTTGGTCTTGGCATCTGGCAGCTTCCATTGAGATGATTGGGCATTGGTTTCGATGTCATAACCATATCCCCACGTTTCGACACCAGTTATGACCAGGTTAAGCAAACCCGGATCGTTGTTGACGAAGAGCACACAAAAACGAACTACTAATCGAAATTCATGCCTAATGCAAGCACGTGATAAACATATGTGTCCGATTATAACAAAAACAAAAAATCGAAAACCGAATGTACAATGCCCGCGAAAAATCAAAATTCACCTTTTCCTTTGAACACACCTGGTACATATAACTCTATATATATCTTGATTAGTTTTGGGTGATACAAAGAATGAAACTATTATATTATACTCTGTAGCAAGATGTTGCGAGAGTATAAAAGCGAATGTTGAATTTCATATTGGTATAATATGAACTTTGCAAACAATAGCGGTAAAATGCAACAAATGCAACAATGATAGATCTTTCTATACATGACGTCACAAGTCAAACTATTTTTCTATTAATTGCACTTCAATAAGAGTAAAAGGGACTAAATTGTCTCAATATATCTGCTGTCACTATCATACGAGTAGAAGTGTGATGATTCGGAAGTAGCATATTCGATGAGGAACTTTTTGGTCTTGCAGAAACCAATTTCAAAGGTATAAATCTTTTTTATAACGTATATATACTGCTATAGTATCATTCTTTACAACAGTAGTAGGAAAAGACATAAACATTGATACATGGTATAATATTAACATATCACGAAAAGTATTACGAAATTTAATTAAAAATAACCGTGACCTTTTACTCTTATATTTAAAGACTGCAATTTTTAGCCAAAACTTAACGCAAGTAATTAATCTAAATATATTTTTAAATGCTCGCGTAAATACATAGATGGAATTTTTAATTAATCTAGAGGTAAACCACGAGATCCACGATGAGCAAACCCAAATTGAGAGAGGAGCTGATACAGACAGCTGATTACAAATTAAGACTGATACTAGTTCCACAAACAACAAAAAGAATTAAAAAACGCTTAGTTTGAGACATTTCAACAAGTGTATAACCTGTTGTGCAAAACCGTTACAACTATTTCACATATACGAACGCAAGAAACTACTGGTTCTTCTTACGGCATATGTAAGCACTAAAGGCCCATTCACATACAACTTTCCTTGCTTTGCTTGACAACTCATATTGAAAGCGCAGAAAACAAAGGGTATGTCACAATGAACACTTTGCTTGCAGTATTTCTCTTTAATAAAATTGGTGACTGTTGCTTGGCAAAGCGTAAAATGATGAGAGTTCCGTACATCGAACTTTTCTGTCAAAGCAAATGTCTGACACAAAGCGAAGCAATAGTTCGATGTGAATTCTCCATAACTGTCATCCTTGCGATAGAGAATACTCCATAAAATTGGCAGCTCTCACGATGTCTCTCAATTTTTCTATTTTCAAACAAACCACCAAACGGTTAAAAACCACCTAAACTGCATGGATTTCAGGTGTACTTATGCCATTGAGTATGCACACTTATATACGTACTTATGCGCCATTAGCAGCTTCTTCATAAACTTTTACAATCTCAGTGAGCTCAGAAGAATAAACATGAAGAACATGTAATAGCTTTCCGTCAGCGCGGTAAGCACTTGAAGCTGAAAACTGCAGCCCAAAATAAGAATTAAGGTTTAACAAAATAACGTGTGGCAGGCGAATTTTACTCAGTCAGACAGTTACTGGCAAAAGTTACGGTGAACGCGCCAAGGTGAGCTGCCAGTTTCAGAAATTTCGAGTAAAAGTTGTTCAAAGATATCTAATGCCAAGAAGTTTTCTTTAACTTTAACGAGTCAACAACAATAATCAGTGTATGAATGCATTGAGCGAGCGCGAAAAATTTTAAAGAAAAAGAATGTGAAAAGTGCTTTAATTAGGTTTTTTAAGCTGCTGGTAAGGGCTTAGCTGAGTTAAGCGAGTGATTGAGGCAATTGGCAGTATTACAGTAGTTAAGCTGCCAAGCCAAAACAACAAACCTTAATATTTAAGAATAAAGTGAGTGTGTATGCGTGCTGCCGCAAGCGAAATGTGAAATGTTTTTCAGATTTTGGAAAGGAATTGTTTTAAAATTAATCATAACAAAATGCACGGAAGCAGTAAGTGGAAATAATTAACGAGTATATACTTACTTTATATACAAACATATGTGGCTGTCCATAATTTGTTATATTGTTCTATTGGATTCGATGAGTATACTCGGACTATGTTTGTATATATCAGCATAAAAAAATAAAATTAGTGAAAGTGTGTAATTTAAGTAATAACTGACCTAATTATTAAAAGAGCTGGCTGCTGCGCTGGTCAAAAGTATTCACCAACAAATTTCGGGTGCAAACAATCTGGTTTTATAATATAAATTTATGTATACCTGCACTTAACAAGCTTCCACACAAAGGAGTGTGCGTGTGCGGACTTTAAAAATGTCATATGTACGCACAAGCGGTTGTTACAGTAAAAGCAACTGCAATCACCAGGTCATTTAATCGCACAGGAAATTTTTAATTTGTGTTGCATGCCAAAAACCAGTATGTGGCGACTTGTATGCACTTCTGCAAATGTGCAAAAAGTTTGCACAAAAAGTGAAATTCGGCAAATGTGTTTATTTTTTGCAGTCTCTACGATGGAGTGCAAAATGCAACAACAGATTTAACCAAACCAAACCAAAAAAGGGAAAGCACTATAAACTGCTCATACGAAATGTAATAAAATAATTCATAATATTTATAACCCATAAATGAAAAGTAAAGAACAAGTGGCTTCACAAAGAAAACACCGGTAGCTTTCTTTTAATTACCAACACATACCCATATATTATATGTATGTGTATACACCTTGATAATATTAAAATCGTTTATTTAATGTATAATATATTTTGATTCTCTTTATATTCGCCCTTTTTCCGCTTCTAATTCCTTTTTTGACTTACGCGTAAATAGCGCATGCAAATCAACTCTTAACAGTGACACGATTGCTTAAAGTTGCGGCAAAAAAATAAATAAATCTTAAATTTGGCGAATATTGTTACACTGCTTCAATTTTAATACAATTTAAAAACAAGTCACGGTCTCATAGAATCGGTCTATTGATATCTCATGATGAAATAAAATATTGTACAAGAAATATGCCAAAGACCGTAGGTTAGGTTAAGTTAAGAGGCCGATCGTAACAATGATCTCACTTGAACATCTTAGAGCCGATCCGTTGATAACTAACACTCCTATATAATAGAACATAAGCTACTTACAAATCGACAAACCTCTTTGTGCCTATCAAAAATTTGTTGATATGACTAATGTCAGTTTCGGCTATGTCTCCTGGTTCGTTGAAGTTGGTACTGCCGAGATCAGTCTTTCAAAGGCTAGATAATGGAGGAGATAGTCTCGAGATGTTTCCACCTCACCCTCCTCCATACAACTTAGACAACTGCGCCCGTCAAGATTTTTAGCCTTACCGCATGAATGCCTATTTAACAATGTCCAGTAACAACCCCTATCTGCGTTCTACTCTAGGCCAAAAGACAGGAGCGGGTCGTCGACCAGCACCTGCTAAGCGTACGCGAGGTCCATTGGTGCAGTGCTCGAACGCAAGACACCAATGAAGATCCAACTAAGTCCCATTCCAATGTGAATTGAGCAAGGGTGCCCCCGCCTGGCTCGCTCATCGGTTTTGCAGTTGCCAGCGATTCCGCTATCACTGGCTACTGAAACGAGTTGACAAAGATAAGTATATAATTCTGATTAATTCCCACTATTTTTCTATTTTACTCTCCATGGTATGTTCTGAAATGAATAACGTCTAGACTCTTTTTAGGACAGTAAGAAAATAGTTTCAAATTGACGCAACCGTTTTTTGTTGTTTTGTATATTGTCAAAAGACTCTTTAATCAAACTAAAATTTTAGTTTTATTGGCCCGATGTTTTCATTTTCATACTCTCGTAATATATTGCTACAGAGTATAATAGTTTTGTTCACATAACGGTTGTTTGAAACTAATCGACATAGATATAGATTTGTACGAGTATATGTATAAATAAATAATGAGGATGACGAGACATGTTGAATTCGGGGATACTGTCCGTCTGTACCTTACATTTAGCCTTTCCATACGTTTTTCCCCATATTGATAGTAACTAAACCTAACTACACGCATTCCAGGTTATCATAGAATATAAACAAGTAAGGAAGGGCTGAGTTCGGATGTAACCGAACATTTTATACTCTCGCAAAGTCAAATGGTATACTCGTTTGAGATTTCTTTGTGGATTGACTGATATTTTCGGTAGAAGGTCAACTATAGGCACTGGGGTCCACATCTTTAGTACTTAGGGGCTTGAACAGTTTTGCTTCGATTTAGACAATTTTTGGTCACAAGGTGGCATACTTTAAACGTATTATTCACGCAAAGTTTTACCCCGATATAATCATTGTTGCCAGATGGAATTAAAAATGGTGTTATATGGGAAATAGGCGTGGTTGTAGTCCGATTTCGCCCATTTTCGCACTATAACATAGAAATATGAAAATAACGTTATGTACCGAGTTTTGTTGAAATCAGTTAAGCAGATCTCAAGATATGGGTTTTCACCTAAAAGTGGGCGGTGCCACGCCCACTATCTAATTTTGAACGCGGTTAAAATAAAGTCGTTCCATACCATCTCAAAGATAAAATTTATTGCCTCTGGCGTGTTTAGTGCTTGGTTTATCGAGCTTTTAGTAGTTTTTAACAGTACCGTTATATGGGGAGTGGGCGGGGTTGTTACCTGATATCATCAATTTTTATACCGTCCATAGAGATGCTAAGAACATTTGTTCCCAGTGAATTTTGTTATTATATCTTCAGTGGTATAGGAGATATGCACATTAAACTTATTAGGGGGCGAGACCACGCCCACTTAAAAAAAATTTTACTTCAGATGCTATTCCTAATGTGATCCTGTACACCAAATAACAGTCTTGTATCTTATTGCGGAGCTTAGTTATGGCAATTTATTTGTTTTTATTAATGGTGTTTTGTGGGCGTGGCAGTGGTCCGATTACGCAGTATCTGCAATACCAACCGTCTCACGGTACCAAGAAACATGTCTACCAAGTTTCATAAAGATATCTCAATTTTTACTTAAGTTAGAGCTTGCACGGACGGACAGACAGACAGTCACCCGGATTTCAACTCGTCTCTTCATCCTGATCATTTATATATGTATAACCATATATCTAACTCGATCAGTTTTAGGTGATACAAACAACCGTTAGGTGAACAAAACTATTATACTATGTAGCAACAGGTTGCGAGAGTATAAAAATTAATGCTATACTCCCCGTTTATTAAAGTAAAATAACAGATTTGATATTTACATAGAACATTTTTAAATAAAGTCCAAATTCCTACCTAATAAATATCGAAACTTATTTTTCGGAATTTAATACAGACTTATATATAAGAGACATTTCGAAATGAACATCACTTTAGTTTGCCTAAACTTTCCTCATTAAAATTTTCGTTTTCTACACACTGTGCGTCGTAAAAGTGCGCACATTAATTTTACTTTGCATGAGGTGGCCAGGCGCGATTAAGTTGTCTGTAGCTTATAGATTTCAATCTTAATGCGCTCTAATACACAAAATCTGTTTTGCCATGTACCTACTATGCAAATGTAGACGATGAAATGGAAATACTTCAGTTTAAAGTTTGTAATTCTTTAAAACATATTTTGAGCCTATTTTTGTTATTACTCTTAAAATTACTAAAAATATATTGGTATCAATAAGTAAAGCAAAAAGTTTCAGAGTACTCACTATCTGGGTTCAATTTCTATTTGTGAGCCCTCGATGGACTATGACGTGCCATTGAGCTTACGGTCTGCCATGAAAAGTGTTCTCATAAAATATATTAGCCGTTCGGAATCGGCTTAGAGCTTGTGGGTTCCTCCAGTAGTGTAGGCGCCAATTTTATTCACCTATGTATGTATAGTGAATCACCTTAAAAGATTTATTTTCTTTCAAACTCTTTGACAAGTGCTACTAATTCAAGTATGGCAGAAACATGTTTTGGGTTTATATTGTGGATTTTAACGATTCATTCGATCAAAAAGTATATTAATGGGTGATCCAAGTAGAGGTACTTTTCTACCCTTTTTTTTTGACAGATCACGCTTGGGTCGCGTCAAGCTGTCATGTTATTTTTTTTACTATTATTTGGTATTTCATCATGGAAAGATCTACGTTTAAACAACGTTTACAAGTCGTTCAACTTTATTATGAAAATTCACGTTCTGTAAAGAATAATCGGCCTACTGAGAGTACTATTCGTAATATCATCACCCATCTGAGACCCAGCATTCATTACTGGATAATATTCGACCGAATAGACCACGTCCCTCACACGGTGAACAAAATATAGCGGCCATAGCTGAGAGTGTACACGAAGACCGTGGAGAGTCGATTCGGCGCCGTTCGCAGCAACTCGGACTGACGTATGGAACGGCTTGGCGCATTTTACGACGAGATCTTAAATTGAACTGATGCCGCACGACCTTCTCAAGCGACATAGCTTCGCTCTAAGGGCTCTTGAAAAGTTCCAAGAAGATCTGACGTTTTCGAGCCAAATTTTGTTCAGTGATGAGGCCCATTACTGGGTAATGGCAATGGGTATGTAAACAAGCAAAATTGCAGCATTTGGGAGGAAAAGCAACCTGAAGAAATTCAAGAGCTGCCATTTTATCCAGAAAAAACAACCGTTTGGTGTGGTTTTTGGGTCGGTGATTCCATCGGTCTATTTTTCTTCAAAAAAGATGCCGGTGAGATCTTAACCGTCAATGGCGACCGTTATCGCGCCATGATAACCGAATATTTGTTGTCTGAAATTGAAGTTCGTGATCTCGGCATCAATCAATGGTTTTTTTGAGAGAACACTTCGGTGAGTAGATAATTTCACGTTTTGGACCGGTCGATTGGCCACCAAGATCGTGTGATATCACACGGTTAGACTTTTTCCTGTGGGGATATAATAGTCTAAAGTATATGCCGACAATCTCGCTTCGATTCACGATTTGGAGCAACGCACGTCATTCGCCAGTTACCATTCGAAATGCTCGAACGA